TCAATAATACTATTCCATATCCTTAACCCTAACATCTACTAAAAATTTGGTACACCATTAAACTTCATCTTCAAGTTACAAATTAATCAACAGTCTCATCCAATAGAAGAATAAATTTCACAACCTCAATGCTAACTGAAATCTTGAATTAATCAATTCCTTGCAAAAGTTAAAACACTTGTGGATACTCTTGCAATGGATGATCATAGATTGAGAATGAGAATATTCCTTACATTCATATTGGTTCATCACAAATATACCCGTACCCATAAGAATGTGTCCGCATGAATCTCAAAGAGACGAGTGGCTCAAAAAGGAAGTACAACTGATCGAACGTCCAAATAGACGATCATTTTGAGATGAGCAATGACAGAGAAAATATCTTACTGAATGATCGAAAAAAGATGTCAAAATAAAACCCCTCAAGATGCTCTTCAGCATTCAGACTGATCAATGGGGAGCACTCCTTCGATTTTTGAATCGATTGAACCAAGTCCTGTTAGACGATCAATGATCCTTATCAATCAAATAGGTATGGGAATTTATTATATGAAAATAACTTTGTAAATTCCCAAAAAGTCTCCTTGAAATGTTAATGATTAGGAGGCTAATATATACTCTTGTAATATTGGGATCTAGGTTTATAAATAAGGGTCCATTTTATGGATAAAGGACAACTTTTGCATTTCTACTACTGCTCCTTCACACTCTCTCTTCTCTCTCTCTCTCTCTCTCTCTCTTAATTGCCTCCTAATAGAACGTTTCATTCATTGGGTGTATTTCTCAGAAAATCTTGGATTCAACTTTCTTTAAGGTGCGGTGAGCTTGGGAAAATGCCTTAAATAAGAAGAGCAATCCAAAAACAACAAAGAGAGTTTAGTCAGATGAACAAAAGGGAAGTGACATGTACCTGAGAGTTCATGGAAGAATTTTTTCAACAGGGATTACAAGACTTGAGAACTTAGATCACCAACCAGATGTCAAGACTGTTCATTAAGATTCTTAAATCGGTCGGACCTTGTAATCCCGCTGTAACCTTGTAATCTAAATGGATAAAATAAAAGCACGGGTTACAGCTGAGTTACACGAAAGTTACAAGGAAGTTATAACACTCTTGTAACTCTCATGTAACTCCCATACATATAACCATATAACGCCCGTGTACCCTATTATGTACACATCTCTGCGTACCCCTTGACGTACGCAATTTTTTTCCTTTTCAAATGACATGTTTCTTTCCAAGATAAATTTGTGCATGAGTTTTGTTCTGCTAAGACAAATATAATAAATTGAATTGCGTGCAAAGAAATGATTTCATATTTCTGTGCTTTCAAGTCTTTTTAAGTCGAATTGTTGCAAAGAAATGATTTAAAATCTTTGTTTACCTTGCTTTCAAGTTTTTCTAGTTATTTTGGTTGCATGAAATCATTTCAATTCTTTTATAGCTTCCTGTATAAGTTGATTTGGTTAGATCTAGAATTCTTGAATGCATTGGAATATCTGGAATTAAGGAATTTTTTTATTTATCTTATGTATAAATGATTTGACGTTATAATATTCATAATCCACCAAATTATTAAGCCTAGCTTGGGTTATGAACTTAAACTTTTCTTTGTGCACTCTTCATGTTAATGCATAACCTTTGTTTCTATCTTGTAAATGTGGGAAAAGTATATATGTTTTATGAAATAGACTTCCTCATTTCGTGGGTTAGTTAGAATGACTTAGTTAAATTTATGTGAGTTGGTGCATATAAAATAATATTAATTGTGAAATTTTGTTTAAATGAACACATATCACATATCGGTCATGTTTGAAAATGCATGTCATGCAGGCTTGTTAAAAATTTCTTTGATTTGAAACAATTATATAGATTATATTCATGTGGTTAAGTCCTTTATGACTTGAATAGTTTGCTAAAATTTTGTCCTATCAGAATCAATCGTCAACGTATATTCATGAGAATATGAGATCGATATGCTCTTAAATAGTGCATTTTTGTATTCCTAGATACAATCCGTTATAGACCAGTACATTTAAATATCAGTCTTACAAACCATACAAATCTCATGTATTACATACATATAAACCCAACATGTGGGGTTGGCTAAATGAATTTTTTTTCTTTAGTGTCCTATTGAGTGTCGTATTTTTTATTTAATTCTAACATATTCAGATCATTTTTTATACATGTCTAGGTCATTTTAGGTCTAGATCTACCTTTCTTAACTCAAGTCATATCTAAACATCTACTCTTCTAAAAGAGCTATTAGATGGTTGACGTTTAAGGTAACAAAATAGCAAAGTCTTTTTCTCACTATGTACGGTCGGCGTCGGCTACATGAATCTTCTACATGAATCTTCTTTCTCCATTGTGTCCAATTGAGTGTCATATTTTCATCTGATTATAATAGAGTAGGATCTTTTTTTTATACAACATGACCAGGTATTTTTCAGGTTTACATTAATCTTTCTTAACATAAGTTAAATCTAAAACAATTATTCTGAACGAATAAGATTATCAGATTGTTGACGTTTATGGTGACAAAACGGCATGTAAGCCAACTCTCTCTAATCTTACCTGTCATTGGCGCATGACCAAACCTTTCATGGATATATTAGTTTCACATTTTGTTTTTAAGCCTAAAGCCACTTATCCTCCTAAGCATTCTTATTTGCAAAACTCAGTTTTCTGCTTCTCTTTCATAGGTTAACATATGTAAAACTTAAACTTCATTTTTAGCATTAAAACCACAATTAATATGCATTACATATCTTACTCCTAAACTTCAAATTTCAAATATTCATATAAAAACTTCAAATCACACATAAAATCACATAAATTCTATGCATTACAGATCTAATGCCAAAACATCAATTTTACATAAAACAACAACTTAAAAACCATTAATCTCATGAGAGGAGGGGCTTATGAGAGAAAAAAACATTTATCTAAAGCTCAAAAATGAGAATACTTTGTCGGAGGCACTATTTGGCCGGTGGAAGAACGCCCAGAGTCGTTAGACTGCTCGGTGGAGGAGAAGTCGCATTGGAGTCACAGGAATCGATAGAGCTAGAAGATTGAAATAAGGAGTGGGGAGAGAATGAACCCCTGCCGCGTGGGTATAATATTTTAGGGTAATTGTGTTAATTTTGCATCGGCTAATTAAATTCGGACGCTATGAAGTGAACGTATTGTGTGGCATATATCGACGCAAATTGATTGCGTCAATTTTTTCTGACGCAAAGGGCGATACAAAACCTTGCAACTTACTTAGGGTTCATGTCCGTCGTATGTTGGACGCAAATCTAAAGCTATTTTTATTGTCGAAAATGTTCGGACGCAAATTCTAATGCTATTTGATTGGTTTCCTGTAGTCGATAGCCACCACCCCCTTCCCCCTCTTATAAATTTCTCAGGAAAAAAAAATTAAAAACCTTCTGCTTTATTTTTCAATGATAATATATGTTTCGCTAGAAAATTTTAAGAGTTCAAAAGGCGAAAGGGTTAGGAGGGCCACGTGTTAATGAGAAATAGAAAACTACTACTCTTATATTAAGAGTGTGTTTGGAGTAGCTTGTGCTTTTTAGGATAAGTTGTCGGCCCGCGGACTGCGTTTAGTGTAAAAACCCAAACGCGGTTTCGGATAAGCTACCGAAACGCGCGAACCAAACGGTATGCCCTAAACGGGCCCTAAGTATCTGTATCCTTTCTTCCAATGAGTGGTAGCTGGCTACTCTAAAAGAAAATTGATTAATTTAATTTAATTTTGTGTCAAATAATAAATTTCTATTGATTTACAGTGATTCTCTCATGATAATTAAAATGCTAACATTAAATTTATAAGTATATGTTTAGAAATTGAAAATCAAACTAAACGAAAAAACTTCAAATATCTACAAACATTTTATAAATATGTAAATTTTCATATATTGTACATATAAAGTAAAGTAAAATAAATTTACCTATGTAAGGATTTTCATCTTGTTTTGGGTTTCATTGGACGCATGAGCTTGGCCTGCTTTGATAACTGACGACTGTTGTCGTGTAAAAGAACCTAATATGTCCATAGGATTAGGGCCCCAACCTAGCTAGAGAAGCCAAGAAACTTACAATGCTCACTTATCTGCCACATAGTAGTTGAGAGTTTAGCTTCTTTCAGTTAGATCACATATTTAAATCACTCATATTATTTTTTGGGCTCAACTTGTCCTTAAAAAAAGTAAAAAAAAACTATAGATTACATTTAATATCTCATTTTAATTTTATTGATTTCTTCTTTCGATTCCCTCTGTCCTTGAACTTCAATTTTCTCGAAGATTATATTTAATATCTCAATTTAATTATATTGATTTCTTCTTCCTATTGACTTTGATTAGTTCCAATAATAAGAAAGATGAAGTTTAACAAGTTTTTTATGTATATAATTAATTAAAAACTAAAACAGTATTAATTATTTTGAATCTCCTTTTTCGCATGTTGATCGGAAGCAGATTATTCAAGTTGTGGTGAATTCAATCTCTTTGTTGATACACATATTAAATTGTCTGATTTCTGTCATTATATATTTGTACCATTGCCGGCCTCTTTCTAGCTGCAAGCATTCTCGGACACCATACCTTTGAATGGCTCATTTACAGAAAAAAGTACCATCTATTCTTATACATACCACCCCATTCTTTATGTATTTACACATGTAACATCTAAAAAAATTACTTTTTCCTTTTTTTTTTTACATTGATACCCTTCAAGTCTTTCATATCACATAAAAAAATACCATAGTCTTAACTTATAAAAAACTAAAATGTACTTTCTCATAGTTATATGTATATGTTTAAATTTTAGATATGTAAATACAAAAGAATCAAATGGTATGTATGTAAATGTAAACCTTCTCATATAATATTGCCACAAATGAAAAACAAGTGAATGAAAAGCAGTATAAATACGTAATAATGGGAGGCAAGCAAATTCAGAACGAAGGAGCTGCATGCAAGCCATGGCTTCCTCAAGCAGGGCTATTGCCAGCCTCCTGTTCTTAGTAGCCTTGATGAGCCTACTAATTACTCCAGCGGTCTCCTTTCGTGCTTATCTAGGCAACGGTGATTTATTGGTGCAGAACGACTTCATTATTAGCTCCGGCTTGACACTCACGCTGCGCGATTGTAAGCTCGAATTCCGTGACCTTTCCTATAGACTGGTCTGGAAATCAGACAACAAGGAAGTTGGGAAAAGCTGCACGGCCGGTTTGAATGGTGATGGCTTGCTCGTCATTAATTCTGGAACAAAAGATGTCTGGAAAAGCAAAAACAAGAGTGGAGGCACGTTTCCCTTTCTGGTCATCATCAAAGAGGACAAGCCCTATGCTGCAGAGATCATAGACCGCAATAATGAGGTTCTGTGGTCCAGCATTAAGGGCAACAATTAAAGCTTAAAATCTTAAAATGTTCATTTGTTCTAATCAACTAAAGTTGTTTGTTATGATGCTTCTGTTTATGCCTCCTTCATGTATCCAAGCTTTTCTGAAATATGATTGTGTTATGGTATGAATAAAAAACGAATGGATAAAGACTGGCATTCATTCATCTTTTTTATTAATTTGGGTATTCGATCCGAGTAATTTGAAATTTAGTTTTTATTTTTTTTCTCTAGGGTGTGCATGTGTCTAAGCATTGAAAATTGCAGACTTTATTGATTAATTACTTGATTCCAATTAATTTATATTATTAATTAAGATTGATTTGACTCATCAGTTAAAATATAGCTAATTAAATGTTTATAATAATTAAGATATGTCAAATTAACTGGTTTTAAATGTTAAAGTGATTTCACGTTAAGAAATGAAATTCAAAAAATAATTAATTTGATTCTATATGAAATGACCCAATGCATGGTAAAAAATTAATTGCCGGACATTCAAATAGATGAGGTGGCCAATGAATCTATTTTTCCGTGTCTAATAGGAAAAAATATTACTCCCGGACAAGATATGTGCAAATAGATGCGGATTTGATACTATTGTAACGGTATTTGTCACAATACCACCAATCAACACATGCCAATTCTACACGTAATATTTGCTCGTCAAATAGGCTCTTGGTGGGATTAAGCCTCACCCAATATCTCATGAGAAAAGCAAAAGTTCCAACCATATCATTAACAATTTTCAAATTGCTCATTGAGGAAAATATCATCCACATAGCATTGAAATGCTTTTCTGAGAGTGGAAATCATATATTTGTAATTGAAGGTTTTGTTGCTCCTACATATGCTCTTTTGTCCTCATGATGAAGTTTCATTTGATGATATCCAAAGAAAGTGACAATAAAGCTTAACCTTGACAATGCAACAAGTTTCCTTTTCAAAATCTGAATTGCAGTATTTATCATCTTCTTCATCAAAATTTTGTTTATCTACTGTCGTATGACTTGCAACTATTTATTCAATAATACTACTCAATAACCTCAAATTTTGTCTGTCTGAAAATAATCTTAATTTTGCATTATATAACAAACGTGTTGTTATGTCTCAAAATTTTTAGTAAAAATCTTCTGATTATGCCACATCTTCATCTTTTATTTATAAATCTTAATACTTTCATTAGATTTATTTATTATCTGTTCAAGCTCATTTAACTATAATAGTTTTTTCTCACTGGCATTTTTTAAATTGTAATTAAATTTTTTAATAGCCCAATATGGTTTATTCTCTAGTTCAACTAGTAAATGACAGGTTTTTCCAAATACTAGCTTGTATGGGGACATTCCTATAGGAGTTCTATATGCAATTCTATAAGCTCACAAAGCATAGTCAAGATTTTTCCATTATTCTTGTAATTTAAAGATTGGATAGAATCATTACTAAATCATTATATATTCAAAATACTACCAAAATTTTCTAAATCAAACACAACAACATAACCTTCAAAACAAAAATACACAGATAGTGTTTGGTTTAACGTCGTCAGTCAAATCTAACCAGTGTTTATTCCGATTGACCCAACAACATAAGATCATTTAATTTAAGTTGATCCCCTAAAAAGTAGGGTTTCAGCCTGTGACGATTCACTTTGAATATTTTCTCAGTTTTAGGATATTTGATATCCACTGCTCCATAGGAATAAACTTTTATCACAACAAATTAGCAGTATCATCTAATTAAAAAATAAATTTCACAACCTCAATGCTAATTGAAATCTTGAATTAACCAACACATTGCAAAAGTTAAAACACTTGTGGATATTCTTGCAATCGAAGGTTCACAGATTGAGAATACCACCAATATACATGTACATATAAGAATGTGTCTGCACGAATCTTAAAGAGATTGGCGACCCAAGAAGGAAGTATGACCTGTCAGATGTAACATTAGAAAATCGCTTTCAGATGAGCAGTAATAGAAAAAATATCTTACCGAATGATCGATAGAATATGTCAAAAGAAAGTCCCTCATGACAGTCATCATCCTTCAGAACGATCGATGAAAAGCACTCCTTTGGATCCTAAATCAATCTAACCAAGGCCTACCAAATCATCAGCAATTATTATCGATCGAATAGGTCCCGAGCTTTATTACACACAAATAATTTAATAAATTATCAAAAAGCCATGCTAAAAGGTTAATGACCTGGGACTAATATGTACTTTTATAATATTATGACCCACGCCTATAAATAGGGGTTCATATATATTATATATATATATATTGTATTTATAACCCTAATAGGATGTACTGTTTTCAAGAAATCAAAAGAAGTCGCCGCTCATTGCTCTCAAGGATGTAGACACATTGCCAAATCTCGTTAAATCCTTGTGTTTGTTCTTGATTGTTCTGTTGTTTCTTGTTTTTCATTGCCCTAATTTCTCAACAATAAAAGACACATTTTGCTTGTATGCTACCTTTCCCTCTCTCTCTCTTAATTGCCACTTAATAGATCGTTCTATTCCTTGGGCGTGTTTTTCGGACAATCTCGAATTCAACATTCTTTAAGGTGCGGTGAGCGTAGAAACATGTGATAAACTAGAAGAAGAACCCAACAATAACAACAAGGAGAATCTAGTCAAAACAACAAAGGGGAAATGCCATGGTCCTAAAAGTTCATGGAAGAATTTTTTTAACAAGAGTTGCAAAACTTGTGAACTCATATCATCAACCAGATGTTAGGACAGTTCGTTGAGATCATTAGGGCGGTTGTCGTCCTAGCAACTCCCCTCGTTCAAATTTGAAACACCTTTTCTCTTTTAAACCAACTTAGAGTAACCCCCCCCCCCCCCCCCCGCGCGTCAATAGAAGGAGAGAAGTGCACTCACGGGAAAAGCATGATGATGGACTGTACGAGGAGAGCACCGGATCCGCCCATGTGGAGAAGATTCAAGTATAAGCCTGCCCAATACTTGTTAATCAAAGGGAAGCTCTTCAAGAGGTTGATTACATCCTTATACTTAAAATGTGTTGGGGGGATGAAGTTGAGGATATACTCAAAGAAGCTCATGAAGAAGAATGCGGGAGCCACTCCAGAGGAAAAACACTAGCCCACCGAATCCAGCGACAATGCTACTTCTGGCGAAGCTTCCTCAAGGATGTTGAAGGATACTCCCGAACATGCACGCAATGCCAAAAGTAATGACCACTACGCTACCAGTCATCCCATAAAAGATGTTGTAGTGGAAGAAGAGGCTATATTCAAAAAGCTTAAGCCTCTATTATTATGGATAAAGTTGCAGCCTATAATCATATAAAATGATTTGCTTCCTTTCATAACCGTATATGCTCTATCAGATTCGGTCCCCACATTACGTATTAAATATTAATAGTTTCCTGTGGAAGGTATGAAGGAATTCAATTGCAGCTTTTCAGTTTCATATATTCTGTTATTTCTTTTGTTGTTTACTGACTGTAGAGATAGTTATTCAATTATAAATCAATCCATGTTTGATTCACCAATAACTCATTACTTCAAATTAAATTTGTCAACCCTAATTATTAAAAGGAAAACCAAAAGCCCATGATTTTATTGAGAAAAATGAGTTGACGCAGTTTCTGTACTCAAATATATAGCACATTGATAAGAAATAAAGTGTAAAATCTCCTGATGGAGTTGGATTGTATAGATGTGCATAAAACAAATGAAGATTTACCTGCATACTACTCAATTCCAGTATATTTACATATCTAACACTTAAACTTCAATTTTTACATACATGCCACCTTAGCTACGCATGAGAGGTGTTTCAATTTTTAAGGTTAAAATCATGGCATTATTTATGTAACATGAAAGATTTGGAAGGTATAAATGTAAATAAGTTCAGATGTTAGCTAGATATGTAAATACATTGCAATTTGGTGGTATGCATGTATTATAAATTAAGATATTTCTCCTCTTATAATGTCTGTTCTTTTGCCAAGTTCCATACTTTTAGCTCATCGTTCAAAGGAGGTAGCCGTTGTTTGTAAAATTAATTTTTTTGGTGAAAGTAACAATTGTTTTTTTGTGGCATTAAATATTTGCAGATTTTACCCGCCTGTTGACTAAACAGAGAAGCCACAGCTTGAAAGACTTAGTTAAGAGTCGGCAACTGAATTCATTTCGTATTTGATAATTGCCGCGTCATTAAATTGACAAAATTATATGACAAAATTATATTATATAAAATTGAAGCTCATGAAATATATATAT